CCCAAACTGGAGCGGCCTCCCCCAGACTCAACTGCCGTGCCCCCCAGATTTGAGCTGCCCCCCCGCCCCCCGCTGCCCTGGCCACCCCGCCGGGCCTTGGTCCGTTGTCCACATGCCTGAGACGCGACCTCAAACACATCAATCAGATCGCTCTCCCCGTGCAAACCCGTCCTTGGGCCCCCGGGCCCTGCGGGATGTCCCCCCACTCCCTCCTGCGCGGTGTGCCCTCAACGGGCTGTGCCAGCTGCTGCCGCCCGCCTCGCGCCCCAGGGCCCTCTGTGGGTGCCCCGCCCCCCGCCCCATCCTGAGCGGGGCCTGCAGGGCCAGCCAGCAGCCCTCCCTGAGCCTGCGGCCGCCCACACTCCATCCCGGCGGGGACTGCCCCCTGCCGGTCCCCAGCGAGGACCACAGCTCCTGGGGTGGACACGCGGTGAGTGGGAAGCCGAGGCGTCAGGGGTGCGTTTTGCCCATAGGGATCCGGGTGCACCCAGCGGGGACTCCTCCGCCTGCCCCCCCCCGCCCGGGGGCGTCCTCCTGCGGCCTCCCGCTCTTGCAGCCACGGCGGCCCTGCGCCGCTCCCCCGCTCCCTTCTCTCGGGCTGCAGCCGGCAAGTCCGCTGTGCCCAAGCCACAGTGAGCGCTGAAAAGCAGCCTGGCCAGAGCACGGCAAGTCAGACGTAACGGTTCCGTTTCTGGAAAACTTAAAACCTGGGGACATAGGGCCGCCCGGGTGGCTCAGCGGTTTGGCGCCACCTTCAGCCCAGGGTGTGACCCTGGGGTCCTGGGATCGAGTCCCACATCGGGCTCCCCCCCACAGGGAGCCTGCTTCTCCCTCTGTCTGTGTCTCTGCCTCTCTCTGGGTCTCTCATGAATAAATAAATAAAATCTTAAAAAAAACCAAACAAACCTGGGACACTGTCGTGTTTAAGGAAGTTTAAGGAAGCGGGTTTAAGGAGCTGGTGACAACCGAGGGACCCCAGCTGCTGAGCGGCTTCCTCTGGGAAGAGAAGAGCCCTGCGGGGAGGCCAGACACACCACGTAAGCAAACAGGTACCTGATAGCGTGTCATTCCCCTTGGAACCCCGAGAACAAATCCCACTTCACGGTGGCATATTGATTTTGATTTTTTTTAAGATTTTATTTATTCATTAATGAGAGACACAGAGAGAGAGAGAGAGAGAGAGAGAGAGAGGCAGAGACACAGGCAGAGGGAGAAGCAGGCTCCGTGCAGGGAGCCCGACGTGGGACTGGATCCCGGGACCCCAGGATCACGCCCTGGGGTGAGGGCGGCGCTAAACCGCTGAGCCACCGGGGCTGCCCTGATTTTGATTATTTTTTAATTAGGCAGGCTCCACGCCCAACGTAGGGCTTTAGCTCAGGACCCTGGGATCAAGAGCAGCGTGTTCCACCTGCTGAGCCAGCCAGCCCCCCCCCACGCGTGTTTATTTTCAAGGGGTGTGAGATTCTCTGCCAAGATCTTATTTAACGGGTTCGTATCCATATTCAGAACGAGACTCTCCTGCAGTTTGTGGCTCTGTCCCCTTTGCTGTGAGGTTTTATCAGTTTTCACACTCATTTCAAAATATGAAGGACTTGGAAGCTGTTCATTTTTGACGGGGAAAATGAGTTGCACCCGACGGGGTCAATGGGACAGGAGACCCTGGGCGGTTTTGGGGGAAGAGGTGTCCTTCCCCGGGCCCAGCCGCACACACCAGGGTTAGGCCTAGACGAGCCGCCCGAGGAATGCAAACCCACGTGGGGCGGAGGGCACCCCTGACCCCACAGCCCACACACCTTTCCTTGTTGCTGGAAGGCGTTGGCAGCGTCGTGCAACTACTGCCCTGGGACAGCGGTCAACCACCAAGGCGGTTTCCTCAATTCTCGAAAGGTGGTGTGCGACCCGGGACACAGCCCGATCCCACGAGGTCCCCCCACCGCTGCCATGTCCGGGCTGCCCCAAAGCCCCGCACCTGTTTGGACCGGCGAGGAGGGGCTGGACCTCCGTGACCCTCCGTGACCCAGACTGCCTCCCACTTCCAGCCCCCAGAGCGTCTCATTCCCACGCCCCCCGGGGGGCTCGGCGCTCGTCCCCAGGGGCTTGTCTGCAGCCGCCGGTCCCCGAGCCGCCTCTCCATCGAGCGCCCACTTCTCAGAGCCCTGGTCTCGCCCCGAGGCGCAGCTGAGGAGCCTAAGTGCCAACGGGCCTCTCCTCCAGCCGGCCCACTCGGTGCCCCCTACGGGCGGTGCCGGCCGAGCCTGGGGCGCCCACACCGTGGGGAGGCCCAGCCGAGGACCCGGGGGCACCCTCTCCTGCCGCTGCCGCGTGGCGGAGTCCACAGGCCGGAGCCGCACGCCGAAAGCTCCCAAGCTCACGCGTCTGGGGCTTCCTGACGGTCTCGACGTCTCTGCGTGTTTGGGAATTTCCATAATAAATTAAAATGCTGTTTCTTTCATGAAATGATGGTGAAATTTGACAAGTCCCACTTGGCAAATCATAAGCTCATAAGCGGAGACTCCCGCGCGGATCAGGGCCATGTCTTTGGGGAAAGCCCCGCGTCTGGGCAGCGCTGGGCTACAGGTGCGCCCCCTGGGATGGCCCCTGAGGGTCACCCCGCGCCCCCTGCGATGGCCCCCCGCGTCACCCCATGCCCCCTGGGACGGCCCCCCCATCACCCCGCACCCCTGGGACGGCCTGTCTGTTCTGTCTGTGCAGAAGCAAACGTGTGGTTCTATCCTGTTCGTGCTGTGAATCGAGACTTTACTTTTTAGGAATCATTTGCAGTTGCAGTTTTGGTAAACAAGGAACCCTGAACATCACGAATGGTGACGGGGTAGTTGACCACTTAGTGTAGACGCTGCAATCACGTCACGCATCTTTCTCTAATAGGAGCTCATTCAAAAGTGGATTTTGAGCAATTTGCAGGCATAGGTGACCCCGTTCCCCCGTGAGAAACCTTTTAGAGGAGCGTTGCCTACTACACACACAGCAAGCTGGTGAGTTAGGGCCCCGTGTCGAGGGCACGCAACACACGGGCTTCAAGTTAGCGAGAACCGCCGGGCGGCCTGCGTGAGAGCACAGCTCGCCTGCGGCTCCTGCTCTCCATGTGGTTCCAGTTTGAACACCTGGCACGATACTCATTTTTAAAAAATATAGACTTATTTTTAATTTATTTATTCATGAGAGACACAGAGAGAGAGGCAGAGACGCAGGCAGAGGGAGAAGCAGGCTCCCTGCGGGGAGCCCGATGCGGGACTCGATCCCGGGACCCCGGGGGCACGCCCTGGGCTGAAGGCAGACGCTCCACCGCTGAGCCCCCGGGCGCCCCTCGGCACGATATTCAGGACAAGAAACCTCTTAGCGACGTTCTCCTGGGCCTGAACTCCTTACAAATCACCATGACTTCAGGGGCGTTCTTTCCCTTCCCACAGAAATCCCCACGGGCCCGGGGTGTGTGTGGGCGCCGCCACGCTCGCCGGTAGACGCCGGGACACTGTGCTGGGAAGCGGAGGCCAGACGCCCCCAGGTCCTCCCACCCGAGGCGCAGGGTTCCGGGTTACGTCAGTGGTGATGTTTAAAGGCACTTGTGGGATTTTTGTGTATGTTTTAACAACTTTTACAGGAAAGGGGGGATTCTAACCTTGGTTAAGAAATACAAAATAGCGGCGCCTACTGGGTTCCGGTCCCAAGTTGTCTGATTACCAGCTACACAAAACCTCGGCGATCTTGCTTCTCCTTGGGGCGCCTGGGGGCTCAGCCAGTGAAGCGTCCGCCTCCGGCTCAGGTCATGATCCCAGAGTCCTGGGATCGAGTCCCGCATCGGGCTCCTGCTCAGCGGGGAGCCGGCTTCTCCCTCTGCCCTCCCCTCCTCCTGCGTGCTAATAAAGTCAACAAATAAAAAAATCAAAATGCCACATTCCCTCCCTTCACATATAGTGGAAATTACCCAATCATCTCTGAACTCTGACCAAACTTGGGCAGAAAACCTTAAGTTCTTTTTTTTTTTTTTTTTTTTTTTTTTTTTTTAGAAAACCTTAAGTTCTACTGCTGACGCTCGGGAGTGTGCAGAAAGGTGACGCAAACACAACTTCCTAGACCAACTGAGAACTGCTGCCCCTTCATCCCAAATCATCTGCCCATAACCAGATACAGAACTGGTTTTGACACAGACTGAACTTGAACAGAACGTTGCCATTAGAACTTTAAAGTTTCATCACATAGAATTAGATGTTCATAAAACAAAACCAAATCCCCCAGCCCACCCCCCTTTGCCAGGTAAGTAGTATTTTCTCCCAGGTGCCCGTGTGCTGTTGCTACAGCCGGGGGCTCCTCCCACACTACAAAGGCAGGACCCGGACGGACCGTTGTTCCCCCAGCACCAGCAGGTGCTCCCAGCCCCGGAGCCAGGGGACAGCCAGGCCCCCATGTGGGCACCCAGGGGCGGCGTGCCCTGCAAGGCAACCTCCTGATAAGTGTCCCCAGCCGAGGTGTCCGTGGGGCCGGACCAAGCGGACAGCCATCGATGTCACACCCCAGCACCCGAATGGCTGTCGTCACTGGCACGGCCCTGCACCATCGGACACGGAGCCCACGTCACTGCAGCCGTCAGGGGACGCACCGCCAGCTCTCGTGAGCTCTGGGCACAGCCAGGTTTAGGCCACATGGAGACTCTCCTGGTAAGAGAAGCGGAACACGATGGGGCCGCCGGAGGTGTCCCTGCCGCAAGTACCTACCGAGCTAGCAGTCATTCCTGTGACCCCAACCCCCACCCCCCCGGCTCTCTGGGAGCCTCAGCGGAGAAATGCTGGGTCACCAGTGAACATGGAGGTAACTGGTTAACAGGTGGGGGTGTCTGTCTCAGCCTGAGTCTGAAACCATGGCTTCGTTTATACCCCAGTCACTGACAGGTATTAATCCTCACCTCCAGGATGGAGACGTGCGTGGCTGCCAAGCAAGGGAGAGGGAGCGAGTGACTTTCCACAAGAAATAAGTTACACCAAGGATACTGTATCACTACAAATTTTATTCAGAAACCCATCTTTGTTTTTTTTTGTTGTTTTTTAAAAAAAATTCCCGTTATGAACTGGTTTGGTCAATCAACTACAACACTGTCTAGCAGACATACGGTAAAAACGGCATGGCTCAGAATCGCCCAGATCTTTCGCGGTCTCTCGACCGCCTCCTGTCACGCTCCCGTCCCCCACCGCCGCCGCCGCCACCGCCGCCGCCGCCACGACCACGGTCTCTAGACCGAGAGCGACGCTCCCGAGACCGGGACCTCGATCTATGCCTGCAACCAAAGAAAAGAAACAAAACTGTGTCATCCGAAGCAAAGCATCCAACGGTATCTCACAATGATTAACGCTTCCGAATACAGTATCCCGCCGAGTGGATGGCACCAATAAAGGAAATCGCTCCCACGAAACTGCACGCCCATGCTGTACGTGCACCCAGAAGTCAGGGCAGAAGGGGAGCTTGTCAGGATCATGAGGCAGGTGACCCTCCATGGCCCGTGCTTCCGGGATGCCAGCTCCAAGGGTCAGGGGCTGTTTGACACCCCCCGAAGCTGGTATCAGGCCCCAGCCCCTCCCCCGCTGGGCTCTGGGGCGCGGAGGGCAGGGCTTGTCTTCTCCCGTGCTTTCTGTTGACAATGAAACAATCACCAACAAGCCCTACATCTCCTGGGACCTGTTTCCCAGGAGGGGGTGAGAAGCCCTGGGGTCAGAACTCAGCCAGGCGGGATAAGGTGCCTCTCCTGACTTCCGGGCTCACTCTCTGTTCTGTGGCACCGCAGGCTGCCCTGCACCACCGGGACCACACATGGGACCCTGCCCGATTCCGCCCACGCTCCCTGCCCCCAAAGCAAATGGACACCAACTGGGAGCCCCCAGAGGAAACACGCAGCACATGAAGTCATGCTGAGGGATAAACCCTGTGCTCACGAACCCACTCTGACCGCCTCCCCCTCACGCAGGTCCCAAGGGCTTGCAGGACAATGTGGGATATTCTTTTAAGAGTACATTTCAGGGCAGCCCTGGTGGCGCAGCGGTTTAGCGCCGCCTGCAGCCCGGGGCGTGATCCTGGGGACCCTGGATCGAGTCCCACATCAGGCTCTCTGTATGATGCCTGCTTCTCCCTCTCTCTCTGTCTCTATGAATAAATAAATAAAATCTTTAAAAAAAAAAAAAAAAAAAAGAGTACATTTCATACCTGAAAATACATACTATGTCCCAAACAGTGACTTTTACACTCAGGGCACGCTTTACTTGAGAAAGTACCTTCCAGAACAGAGAGCACCAGGAGGCAAGAGAAGGCTGTGGGAAGTACTCACTTCTTGCGCCGGCGCCCGTACAGCTCCCGCCGCAGCTCCCTGGAAATGGGCTTCAGGTGCATGAAGTTGCAGAAACCGCCCCGCGTGCACTCCCTGCGGGGAAGCAGAGGCCACCATGCCGCGCGCTGCCTGCTAGTCCCCCGCCAGCCCCCCCGCGGGCCCCGCACCTGTGCCGTCACCTACCCCATCTCGTACTGGCGGCAGCATGCCTCTCGGAAGTCAGTCACCGGGGAGAGCTCAGCATGGATTGGCTGCCCATTAAACCAGCGGTTGTTCAAGTCAATCACGGCCTTTTCCGCGTCTTCCTCTCGGCGAAACTGAAAAAATGAAGCAGAGATGCCTGCTGCCCACACTCACCCAGAAAGACCTCCTATCCAAATACACGTGACACGTTCACGGGGGCAAAAATATAGTGGGATGCTGCTGCACAGCAAATTTAAAGACAGACTATCTTTATCTGCAATCGGATCACATAATTCTGTGATGGTCTGAGATCAGACACACACAGCCTGGGCTTTCGATCAGTTAAAAGAGCAAATGCAATGATTTGTGTAGGCCATGGGAGCTTAAAAAAAAAAAAAAAAGGGAACAAGAAACCACACATATAAACCAACTTCTCCTGCATCTAGACAGCCCGTCAGCAACAGCGATGAAAACCCCAACACTGAAGTGGGGTGACTGCGGTGTCCCATCCATCCCTCCGGCACCCACGGCTGCTGTCATGCCCAGGCTCTGGCCAGCCAAGGACCGAGTGCATTAACATCCATGACTAGCAGCGAGCGTTCAGAACTTTGAAGTTCTAACATCCAAAAGTAGGCGGTCTTTGCTCTTTAGTCTGCATCAGTCAAGAGACAGAACTCCCACCTGTCAGTCTGTTCCTACCTTGACGTACACGTTCCCAACTAGGTGGTCTCCGAGGTTATCACAGACATTCATCTCCTCGACTTCCCCATACTTCTCCTCCATTTCTGTAAAAACCTCCTGTGGGGGGGGGGGGGAACGGGACACAGTAATTTAAGGCTCAAGAGATACTTAAAGTACCACCTGCACATAACTCCCATTTAAGCATATCTATGAACAGGAACATATTTTAACTCCTTGCAAATGGATACAGAAGGCGAACAGGCTGGTCACTGTCAAATAGTATCTCACCTCAAAGAACTCATCATAGTGCTCCTGCATCTCGACGTCACTCACGGCACCTATGAACAACAGAAACCTTGCTGGTTAGAGACGGAGCCTTAAAGACAACGCTGCTTTTAACTCAAACTGCTACAGTAACACACATTAGATTGTCTAGAGAGGAAACACAACAGAGCTGCATTCTACTGGAGCACTGAAGATACTGCGTGACAGCCAATTGTTAAAAATTTTAAAGTGTGGTGAAGTTTTTAAATGCCCCCTATGACAGTCTCAGTTCTGGCTATTAAAATCACAGCAAGTTTTAATCAGCATCAAAGGGCCACGTTTTCAGAAAGTGTTAAGGAAAAAGTTTACCCTCAAGAAATTTTTAAATGATAATTTTCTTCCTTTTAGGATTTAAAATAGAGGCCAAGGAATCACACTGATTTTTTCCTCTTTAACAGGCTAAAATAAAAGCTGAAATCAGGGTACGTGATTAAGAGCTAATGTTCCTGACTAATTTCTTACAGATTAGCAGCCACACAATGCTATTATAAAATTCTTTCTGATGCGATTAAAACCCAAATGACGATAAAGACTCAGTAGGAAAATTACCAAGTTCAATTACAGTAGTTCGAATGCCTCTGAATAAAGGGAAAGTTACAATGCTTTGCTTAAGGAAGCATTCTTATTTTATATTCCATAACTATTCCCATCAAGTTTATTCTTCATAATGCACATGCACTAAGTGTAATCAATCATGTCCACTGTGTGGGCAGATTTTCCAAATTTACATTCTACCCTTATTATCATTCTACCAAATTTTACTGTTCAATTTCTACAATTCTCTTAACCTAAACCTGAGAAATCACAAAGCTGGCATGTCAATGAACCAGTGTCCCATACAGCCCAATCACGGAGCCTACAAAGGCCGAGTGGCTTCAAGGCTGGGCCAGCTTAATGTTCAGTTGTCCCCTCCCCGACCACACCCTGGACCGGCAGCCTCATCAGGCGGTGAGGGCACTGGGGCAGAGGCACGCGGATGTATCCACCATGCTGCCTGGGGCAGTTTCCCTGGAAAACTTTATCTTTTGATTCTGAGAATGACTGACATTCACTTTCTAATGCATGGGAGGGGGAAGGAGGGGTGATTCCTGCCATCTTAGTTATTTTTGAATTTCCAGGGGAATCCAGCTTGCTTTAGAACCCAAAACCTCTTGACTGCATTAGGCAACAACTACTCCTCTTGACAGCCCGGTACAATTTAAAAGCTATCGTGGACATGACCTCCTTCCCCGGGCAAATCAAGTTCTTAAGAAGAAGTAGTCGGGAGAAGAGATGAAGAGATGCCCATTCCAAAGGGCAGATTGTAATCTTTACATTCCCTTCTCACATCAGAAAAAAATGAGGAGAAAAGACATTTGCATGCTCAAAGTGCTGGCCCTGTTGAGTCAGGCTCTGGTGGTGGTTCAAAGACTGTTGTAGTCATGGTATTTCTAATTCTCTCCCTGGAGAACAGCATTGTACCTTAGTGACTTCTGGGAAGTTCAATTTGAAAATGCTCAATAGTGGTTATATTTTATCCTCTAGACTCTGGTTAAAAATCTCCAGTCAACCATATAACTAGGGCAGGACAGAGATAAGTGATTAAGACACTGGTCAACTGCAAAGTCATCTACGTGACTCCATGGATCTTACATAATACCACCTGAAGATACCCAGTTTTCTCACAGAAACTTTCTTCAACTGGGATTCATACTTCCATACACGAAAGGGCATGTTAAAAAGTTGTAAATTTAGGAAACTGATGAACTCGGCTGGCTGAAATTTACTCGAAGGCTCTGTTGCAGGTTCATCAGCTTAAATGGATTTTCTACCTAAATTGAACAATCAGAACTTCATTTAATTTGTAGAATCTGGAGCCCATAATCGGAATATTTGGTAACAGCTCAACTTTTATTATGTAGCATACGCACAACAAGAGCACTGTGAATCGCAGGTAAAGACACGAAGAAAACTAATCCAACATTGTTTTGTCAACGAAGCATCCGCAGTCCCCAAGTAAACGATCAGGGCAAAGAATGATTAATTGTCATTACTCAATCATCAACCTCTCATTCGTTTTACCCCAGGGCAGGGCTGTTACGAAAATTATTTAATAAGTCCATATGTAAGTACTTCCCTCCACCTATTGATTTTGTTTCTTTAAAAAACAAAGCAAAACCAAGTATTTTAAAACAAGGGCTACCCGTAAATCCTGTTGCCATCAGATTCAGGGAAACAAATGATCTGCTATCAGGTCAGCACAGCATGGAGAAACACGGTGTGTTGGCAGGAAAACCTTCCCAGCCCTCCCCCACACAGACACGTGCACTGTGCACTCACACAGCCGCACAAAGAGGGTGGGGAGGGTGGCCCGGGCGGGCGGTGTAGACTGCCCTGTGAGCTGAGGAGCCGTGGGCCAAGGATGTGTGGGACTTAGGTCTGTGGCTATTCAGGGGCACCTGTGGACAGCATTTTCTATTACGTTTTGCAGCTTCAAAACAAACTAGAAAATGAGAAGCTGTTTGGTTTGGACCCCTTGATTTTAGCAGGAGTCCAGGATGATCCTTTCAATGTATCCAGATGACTGAATTCATTCCACGGCTCAAGAGCCATAAAATCTAAATTTTAGCTTTTCGAAACTTCCAGGGATACTAATATGGATCCTGTTCTTGAAAAACTACCCCTGAGGAAACACAACGTTTGTAACTTAAATTTACTATTTCTCAACATAGGGAGAAACGAGCAGTGTCTACTAAATGCCCAGACTAGCTCCATCTCCCCACCAAGTACACCTTTTCTTTTCCACACGTAGTAAGCTAGCTTCTCCAAGTTGCAGAAAGCTACGTAAAGGACTTTGGTTAAAGACTGAGTCGGCATAGGGCTGGCGTTGAGGAAAACTCAGGAGTCCGTGCAACTCGGAAGATCCTCATTGGGAAACACTCTCAGAACAACTGCTCTTACAATAAAAGCATGAGCTCCAGAATGGAGTTCAAGAAAAAGTCTGATAAGACATAAAACCTCAAAAATAATTTCAGAATACTGTTTTTTAACATGAGAGAAATTTTCGGATACTGTTGCTCTTAAGAGGGGAAGAACACAGCTGCACATTTAACTCCAAGTATATTCTCCCCTGGGATGACGGTCAAGGTAGCAAGAGCAGCAGCTCCAAGCTATCGTACAGGGAGGGTATCCTTTCTGGTCAGTTTTTGTTTCTTAAAAAGTGGGCAGGAGTTCAAATCTCAGAGGTTTCCATGGGGTCAGTGGGACACAAGCTCTCGACACCTCTAGTGAAAGGCCGTCCTTGACACTACAGCGGCAGACCAGGTGGAGCTGACACTGAGCTCTGACACGCAAGCCCAGGGAACCAGGGAAGGAACTTGTATGAACTTACAGCGCAAACCGTCAGCAGACTGGGAAGAGTTTTGAGGGTTACGGTAAATGTTCAAGAGGGCAATGGTCTGAAATACAAAACGCAACAACTTTATATTATGGAAAATTAAATTTAAACACTTAACCGGTTTCCTGTGGCGATCACTTCAGTCAAGACTCAGTGCTGAAAAAAGAGCAAGTTATTTTCTTTCGAAGCAGAGAGGTTTTTCTCTTAGTTGGTGGCTGTCTTGGAGCACCCTAACACTGCAACGTCACAGAGATCCCATGATATGCTGCTATTGTATTTCTGTTCACGGGACGCAAAGATTCCCCATTTCCAAGTTCCAACCCAGTTACGAGTGCAAGCAACTTGGCAGGTTACTACCCAAATGGTCTTTGCTATTACAGAAAACTTCATGAGCTGAGAAAGTGCCTGCATAAACTGATGACAAAAACCATGGGAGCAGAGAAATACAATAATTACATATCATGAAATCTCCGCTTCCTAGAGGAAAAATTGTAATGGTGAAATAAAACCCACACTTATTGGGCAACTTACCTTATTGATTCCTAAACATTCCTAAGATTTTTACCTTTACAGAAAGAACTTAATAAAGGCCAGGGGTTCAGGCACTGGAAAGACCAGTGTTTGGCTGGGAACTGTCAAGTGTCACATGGACAGACCCCCTCCCTCTTGTTAACAAACGTCAACCCAGGGAAGAGGCCTCCCCAGCGCCCTTGCCTCAGACAGCCTCCTGAATGTGGCCAAGTATCAGGTTCTTGCCGTAGGTACCAAGGCCTTCCAGCACCTTGTCCTGTTTGCAACAGCTCTACGTCAGCAGCTCAGAAGCCAACAGTATTTGTCTCAATTAAGAGTGGGCTCTTTAACACCATTGTTTTAAAAAAATTTCTCCAACTGTGGGACTTACAGTGTGAGCCGTCAGCCGTCTGTGCACTGTTTTGGGGATTACGATAGATGTTTTGAATCAAGATGGTCTGCGGGGAAAAAAAAATAAAAAGGGGAATTCTACTGGCTGCTGTGCATGTATTAGACAATTGCAAAGAGACAACTTGTTTGCAAATGGCTCAACGCTTGCTTGTCTGTTTCCCACAAGTCAGACACTTGTCCTCTGAAGAGCACACCCAAACCATCATATTATGAAAACAGAGTGTGAGCAGTGACTTAGGTCAAGTCAGCCAGCAACCAGGAAGAAACTGTAGCCATTCTTTTCAGTAGTCCCACATTATTCCAGCGTTTTAATGCAAGATAAATGATAGCAAACTAACGGTTTTCTTATACTCCAAGCTAGCAGACACTAAGATGTTGAAAAATTCACATGCTAATCATATTCCCCACACAAAAGGATTTTTTTTTTTTTTTTTTTGGAAAACCAAATGCGTAAGTCAACTGTATGCAGTCCATCAAGCTGTCTGGTCTCACAGGAAACAGGCGCACCAAATGGGTGTCCTGACTGTCATGGACACCTATCCCACATTTGTTTGCTTGGTGGGGACCTCTGTTTACATAATACAATAGCTTAAACATCTGTTCTTTTCCGATCCTTCTTTTAAGGGAAAAAAATCCTTTTAGCCCTTGTGCTTTAAACTGGATCAGGAAGACTTGAAACCTTACATTGTACCGTTCTTCTTAAAATCAAGTTGTCTGAAAAAACAAACCATGTTTAAGTTAGTAGGCTAATATATTACATGAATCTTAACGTCCACATCACTGCAAGAAGCTTAAAAAGAAACCCACACTGAGTTTTACAAGCTGAACCAATATACTGCATGATTCAGAAAAATAAATGTTTCGTCTCAACAACACAGGTCCACAGCAGTTTTGTGAGTGGCTTTACAAAACCTGCAGTTCTGTTTCTAGCTACATTTAAAGGAAGAAGTTGTGTGGGCACACCCCAAAGGTCTGCTATGGGGAAACCCACACGGGAGGAACATCAACCGCCAGGCCATGACCATGTACATGATGGTCTCTCTCACACACACACACACACACACACAACCCTTCCTGCAGAGCCTTGCATCTTCCCCCAGCCACCAAGTACTGTCCGGGTCAACTTATCTTGGCCTCGGCTGTTTCCCAAAGCTGACTTGACTCAGTTTTCAATGGGAATCACCAGTAAGCGTAACAACTCTGATAGAAAGCTATACAGAGCCCAAATATTCAACAAGGAATTCATTTTAGGTCTTGCTCGGGTCATCTGGCAGTGGTTGGTTAGTGAAGGAAAACTATACCCAGAGGGGGCATTGCAATTCCATTACAATTGGGGTCAGGATTGCCTGAAACCAACCAAGCCCGTAACAATGAGATGCTCAGGTGAACACATAGAACTGACCCCAACGTTAATGGAATCGCTGCCCCTTCTTGATCCAAAGTACTCAGATTAACTTCACATTAACATTCTGAGGTATCAGTGATTCACACAGAAAATAAACCAAATGGCTCTGGATAGCTTAAAGAAAACTTTCCTACCAGGATCATTTCTCTCTCAGCCCAACACCTGGCCCACAGAATCAAAAATCTCAATGGACACGTAAGATGTTTTGCCCAATCTACAATCACCGGCTTAGCTGGGGAGATTTAGTTCAGAAATCAAGCCACTTAAAAAAAAATTGCAGTAAGGTTTACAGCAAGATCTACAATATTCTGAGATTCAAAAAAGAGACATATTCTCCTAAATTAAAGATAGGTTCTTGTTATACTAACCATGCTGTGTCAGTAGAATAATGGGGGAGAGGAAGCCATCACCCCTCTTCTAAAAACATATTACATTGTGGGGTTTTCTTTGGGCTTAAATTAGAAAATATAAATGTCTCTTTCCTACAGCAACTGGCTGATTTTCCTAAATACTTATAGTAAAATGTAAACATCTGTTCTGGCAGAAGTTTAAGAACACGTGAACAGGATGATGTGAGCTCAGAGGCAGGGTCTGGCAGCTTCCAGGGGCTACACACAATAGCTACCCAATGATTCAGAGGATGCCCACTCAGATGTCACCACCAGTGGGAAGGAACTTAAGCCCTCAGTCTGGAAAGACTAGAATTTTTCAAAGTCTAAATATCCAGATAAACATGGGCAGAAGTTTCCTGTTCCTATTACAGGTGCTTTTTCCCTAACTCCTCAGTGATCACCTGTTGGATGCAAATCCCACCTGTTCTTCAGTTAACAAACAAAGCCAACCAAAAAATCTACAATTTCTGATTGATCTAAACTCACAATGGACGACCTAAGCCCAAGCTAACAGGCACCTCTCAACCAACCAAATAGACCGGCTACAAATAACTGAAGGTAAAAGCCCATCTTCAAATGTTAAGTTTCATTTTTAATGTTTCTATGACATGATGTCATGGCTAACCCCTCACCTGGGCATCTGCAAGAGGGGGCACACCCAGGACTACTGGGGGGAACCCCTGAGCATGTGCTGAGAATGGCACAAGCACCCCTGTGGGTGGCTCTGTCCGTCTCTGCTGCCTGGAGAGAGCAAAATGCAGAAAGCCCACTTGGCTTCAATCGGTGCCAGGAAAATAAGGCTAAGTCCACACTGGTGAGGCTGCCCCCACTGGACCCACGTCTATGAGAGGGGCAGAAGGGGTGGCAAGGCGGCAAAGACCAGTCACAGCCAACAAGCAAACATTAATCACTTCTTTGTAAAAAGCTTCTCTAACGGTGGAGGAAGGACCTGTCTTGCAGACCTCCTCCTGGGGGTGGTTCACTGGTCTCATTCTCATTTAAACAGAACATACAAACACAATGGAGACTAAAACTACTAGAGAAAAAAATGTCCTATGTAATACATGGAAAATCATTAACTGCCTCTGTAAAGTACATGAAGTTTTGATAATTTGCATGAATACAGAAAAAAGAAAGAAAAAAAAAAACAAACCTGGCTAAAGGTCGGTTTATTGTGCAACCGAGAGCATCTGTCTCCATGACGACATGCTCCAATTTTGAAATAAAATGAACAGTTGACTCTGTAAGGGAAAATAAGAGCTGATTATTTTGCTGGGAAGGCATCAAACAGATGTAAATACGTCAACATCACATATGCTTCTGAACTACTTTTCTTTTGCTTTGAGAAAACACAGGCATACAGTTTTCTTGGGTAGCAGGTACCTTCCCCTTCCTAGCAGCATTTCCGGGTGACCCACCCCTCAATCTGCCTCTGACAAACACGTTAGTCCTTCAATGAAGAGTGCTCTAATTCCACCCCAGACACCCCCCATCCAAAGCCACTCCACTCTCAACTACTTGCTCTGCTCTGCTGTTTCTTCTTAATGGAATATTTAAGCTTAAAACTAAATTTAATTCAAAACATCTCTATTCTCTAGCGTTCCATGATGAAATTCTCTCTTGAGGACACCAACACAGCACAGGGAGGGTTGAGATTCTGACTCTGCTACTAGCTACCTGGGCTTGGGCAAGTCACCCCACCTCTCCTGGTCCCAGGAGCCATCTGTAAAATGAGGAAAATGCCAAGCTGGCTTTGTTCCAAGAATCACATGCCATGTGTACACTTCATACTTAGCGCTCATTAAATGCAATCTCTCACTAAAACAAAGTCCATGTTCTCTCATTCATGACGCCAGACCAACAGGAAATTTCCAAACACAGGTCTGAAGTACGGCAGTCTCCTGGTTTCAATACACTGAACACAGGCTATCAGGGGAACTCATCTGCTTGTTCCTACACAAGGCCACCTCCTGTCTGTATCACTAAGCTCTCCCTTAGGACCGTTCAAATACCTGGATGATCCAGGATCAAATCAACACTAGCAATCCAGCCATCACCGTGACAGCAACGTCAGATGGCTCAGACCTGTGATGGGTCATGAAATCTTACTGGATGAGCACCACTCAAAGCTAGACTTGCAGACTTGGGAGGGTCACTCTGTAGGTTCAATTTTTTTAGCAAGGGCTCTACGTTCAGACAGCCAATCCAGAGTTAGAATCAAAGGGTCTTAAAATTTGATGGTCTGCAAAGATCAATTAGCCACCAATTTATCAGGTATCAATAAGCATGGAAAAGTCTGAATTTACCAGGGGAGGAAAATTACGTATTTGCAAACTTATTCTTAAGTCTTACTTCACGTATAATTTGAATACATAATTTACATCTTCAGAAAATCACCTGAAAATTAAGAGCTTATTTTAAAAATACCTCAGAATGGGCAAAACCCCCGCCTGAACAACACCCAACTATTCTATATAATTAAAACAATCTTTGTTTCTGTACTTTCAGAAATGGCTTTAATTTCATAGCACTTGACTAGAATTTAGTATATCAGTCAAAGCTTTCCTACTAATAAACTTTTAGCAATCCACTTATTAAACCACTGAAATAAAAGAGATTTAAAAAAAAGTGACCATTACAGAGAAGATATTAGAGGACCAACCTTGCTTGAATTTAGAAAATGACCATAAGTTCAAATGTAGGGCTACATAAATCTTTTTAATCGGCACACACCTACATTTTACTTCTAGCTTGGGGGGGAAAAAACGTTAGCAAGAATCATCATCTTTGTTTCTTAGGCGTTGATACTGTGTCCTGGAAACTAAAACCCCACAAATCTCCCCAAAATGAGACAAGTAACATATTAAATAATCAAGTTTCCTGAATTAAAGTCGTGCCTTTTACAATACGGCTTTAGTAGGCTAAAATGTGGTTACTTACATCAGGAATATAAAAAAAGGTTAATTGGAATAAACCTCTAAAAGTTCTGCAGAGTACAGCGAAAGCACCATCTGATGTAGCTTTTTACAAGAATAAGGAAAAAAACTTTATGGACTACAAGTCATGGCCCACACTATTACAAGCTCAGGGAGGAAGTTACTGACGCATCTTCCTAATCATTCTACACTCCGAGAAGGCTCTTTCCAGCAGAGCTGGCCCATTCATTCAGGGTGATGCTTACAGGTAGCTTCCTCCTCTGAGCCCTGTCCACAGCGCTTAAAAAGCATCACATCGGTGCATCTAACTTTAATTTCCCTTTCCCGACATACAACCGCCCCTCCCATTCCTGGAGATCAAGACCCAAATTTCATTCATCTTTAAGTCATCAGAGATGGACTCAATAGTGTTTCTGGAGTGACCACGACTAATGATCATGTCACATGGTTTTGTCACTAAAATATATAACCCCCTCTTCCAAACACAAGATGTTTTACAGGACAGACTGCATCCTGGAAGACAAAGAATTTAAAGCGTTTCAGGGGCCCCTGGCTGGCTCAGTCGGCGGAGCAGTGCGTGGCTCTGGATTTCAGGTTTCTGAGTTTGAGAGCCCCACGCTGGGTGTAGAGATTAAAAATAGAATCTTTAAACGGCGACCGGGTGGCTCAGCGGTTGAGCATTTGCCTTCAGCCCAGGGTGTGATCCTGGAGACCCGGGATCGAGTCCCGCATCGGGCTCCCTGCATGGGGCCTGCTTCTCCCTCTGCCTGTGTCTCTCCCTCTCTCTCATGAATAAATAAAATCTTTTTAAAATAAAATAAAATCTGTAAGATAGAATTAAAAAAACCCGTGTTTGAAAAAGTGGTTTTTAGGGCAGCCTGGGTGGCCCAGTGGTTTAGAGACTGCCTTCGGCCCAGGGCGTGATCCTGGAGTCCCGGGATCGAGTCCCACATCGGGCTCCCTGCATGGAGCCTGCTTCTCCCTCTGCCTGTGTCTCTGCCTCTGTCTCTCTCTTTTTCTCATGAATGAATAAATAAAATATTAAAAAAAAAAAGAAAGAAAAGCAAAAAGTGGTTTTACAACATTTTAACAAACCGAGGGCTGGATCATCAAGAGCCCTCATCAAGGTGGAGCCCAGAAGAATCCCAACACCGTTAACTACTTCTCCAAAATGCAGACCGAGCCGCAGCTTAGTCCAGTCTTTAGCAGGTTCCCAAATAAGAGTTATGCTCCTAAATGAAGACATTTTCCCTGGAGTCCAAACTTCCGCCAGCGCACCGGGAATTAAAACCTCCAAGACCAAAATCCAATTTTTTTTTTTTTTTTTTTTTTGCTTTTTGCTTTTAGCCCAACGACCGGGTAGGCAAGGCATGCAACCTTAAAAAAAAAAAAGAGGTGGGGGGGACGGCGAGGAGGGACCCCGCGTTTCTCTCGATGCTGGAATCACAGGTCCGAGCGCGTTCAAAGCTGCGGGCCGAGCTCACGGCTCCTCCCGACCCGCCGCGTCCAGGCCGAGGCTCGCGGGGCGGACACGGCCCCCGGCCCCGGGCTGTCCAAGGCCGCCGGCCCGCCGCGGCGTTCGGAGCCCAAGGGGGGGCGGGGGCCGGTTCCGGGCACAACTTCGGCGCGACCCGCGAAGGCTCGGCGGCGGGACGCGGGCCCGGGGCGCCCCCAGACGGGCCGGGCCGCCGAGCACCCCCGGCGGGAGAGGCCGCGCCGCCCAGCGGAAGCCCGCCCGGGCGCCCACGAGGCGGCGGCGCGCGGCTCCCGAGGCCGGAAGGGCCGCCGCGCCCCTCCCCCCCGCCCGCCCGGGCCTCCCGCCGCCGCCCGCGCCCCGCCCGCCCCCGCCCCGGAGCCCCGCCGGCGGCTCCCACTCACTTGTCTTTCTCGGTGCCAAAAATGGAGGCCAAGTACTCCGCCATTTCCCACCCGCCGCCGCCGCCGCCGCTGCCGACGCCGCCGACCCTGCCCGACGCCCGCGGGAGACGTCACCCGGACGCGACGACGCTCGCCCCGCCCCGACGGCCTGGCGGCGCTGCCCAATCGGGAGAGGCGTTGCCGGCGCGCGGGCGGGGCTTGGCGCGGGCGAGGCCACGCCCCCTCGGCCCCGGAGCCCGCGCTGCGTGCGGCCGCCACCCGCCCCCCCGCCCCGTCCGCGATCTCCTCCCCCGGAAGCCGGCGCGCGGGGGGCGGCGGGGAGAAGGCTGCGACCCGGGCGGGGCGCCCTGTGCGCGTGCGCGGGGAGCGGGAGCGGGAGCGGGAGCGGGCGGTGCGGGCGGTGCGGGCGGACCCCTGGGCTCGCGCGCTGCCCGCGGCGCTGGAGTCCGGAGAGCCGGGCGGGTGCGCGGGGGCCCAGGGCAGGAGGCCCCAGACCGGGCTGCGCAGGGACCGGGCGGCGGGCGGCGGGCGGCGGCGGCGGGGGGCGGGGGCGGGCCCGGGGCGCGCGGAAGTCCCTCGCTGCGGAAGGATGCGGCGGCGGGGGGAGGCATCCTCGCTGTCCCCCCCGGAGAGGGCCCGTCCTCACTGTCCCCCCGGAGAGGGCCCGTCCTCGCTGTCCCCCCGGAGAGGGCCCGTCCTCGCTGTGCCCCCCGGAGAGGGCCCGTCCTCGCTGTCCCCCCGGAGAGGGCCCGTCCTCGCTGTCCCCCCCGGAGAGGGCCCGTCCCCACTGTCCCCCCGGAGAGGGCCCGTCCTCCGCTGTCCCCCCCGGAGAGGGCCCGTCCTCGCTGTCCCCCCCGGAGAGGGCCCGTCCCCGCTGTCCCCCCCCGGAGAGGGCCCGTCCCCGCTCCCCGCTGTCCCCCCCGGAGAGGGCCCGTCCCCGCTGTCCCCCCCGGAGAGGGCCCGTCCCCACTGTCCCCCCCGGAGAGGGCCCGTCCCCACTGTCCCCCCCGGAGAGGGCCCGTCCCCACTGTCCCCCCCGGAGAGGGCCCGTCCCCGCTGTCCACCCAGAGAGGGTCCATCCCCACTGTCCCCCCGGAGAGGGCCCGTCCCCACTGTCCCCCCCGGAGAGGGCCCGTCCCCACTGTCCCCCCGGAGAGGGCCCGTCCCCACTCTCCCCCCGGGAGGGCCCGTCCCCACTGTCCCCCCGGAGAGGGCCCGTCCCCACTGTCCACCCAGAGAGGGCCCGTCCCCACTGTCCCCCCGGAGAGGGCCCGTCCCCGCTGTCCCCCAGAGAGGGTCCATCCCCACTGTCCCCCCGGAGAGGGCCCGTCCCCACTGTCCCCCCGGAGAGGGCCCGTCCCCACTGTCCCCCCCGGAGAGGGCCCGTCCCCGCTGTCCACCCAGAGAGGGTCCGTCCTCGCTGTGCCCCCCGGAGAGGGCCCATCCCCACTGTCCCCCCGGAGAGGGCCCGTCCCCACTGTCCCCCCGGAGAGGGCCCGTCCCCACTCTCCCCCCGGGAGGGCCCGTCCCCACTGTCCCCCCGGAGAGGGCCCGTCCCCACTGTCCCCCCCGGAGAGGGCCCGTCCCCACTGTCCCCCCCGGAGAGGGCCCATCCTCGCTGTCCCCCCGGAGAGGGCCCGTCCCCACTGTCCCCCCGGAGAGGGCCCGTCCTCACTGTCCCCCCCGGAGAGGGCCCGTCCCCACTCTCCCCCCGGGAGGGCCCGTCCCCACTGTCCCCCCGGAGAGGGCCCGTCCCCACTTTCCCCCCAGGAGAGGGCCGGTCCCCACTGTCCTCCCCCAGGAGAGGGCCCGTCCTTGCTGTCCCCCCCGGAGACGGCCCGTCCCCGCTGTCCCCCCCGGAGAGGGCCCGTCCTCACTGTCCCCCCCGGAGAGGGCCCGTCCCCACTGTCCCCCCCGGAGAGGGCCCGTCCCCACTGTCCCCCCGGAGAGGGCCCGGCCCCGCTGTCCCCCCCGGAGAGGGCCCGGCCCCGCTGTCCCCCCCGGAGAGGGCCCGTCCCCACTGTCCCCCCGGAGAGGGCCCGTCCTCGCTGTCCCCCCGGAGAGGGCCCGGCCCCACTGTCCCCCCGGAGAGGGCCCGTCCTCACTGTCCCCCCCGGAGAGGGCCCGGCCCACTGTCCCCCCCGGAGAGGGCCCGGCCCCGCTGTCCCCCCCGGAGAGGGCCCGTCCCCGCTGTCCCCCCCGGAGAGGGCCCGGCCCCACTGTCCCCCCGGAGAGGGCCCGTCCCCGCTGTCCCCCCCGGAGAGGGCCCGGCCCCGCTGTCCCCCCGGAGAGGGCCCGTCCCCACTGTCCCCCCGGAGAGGGCCCGTCCCCACTGTCCCCCCCGGAGAGGGCCCGTCCCCACTGTCCCCCCGGAGAGGGCCCGGCCCACTGTCCCCCCCGGAGAGGGCCCGGCCCACTGTCCCCCCGGAGAGGGCCCGTCCCCACTGTCCCCCCAGGAGAGGGCCGGTCCCCACTGTCCTCCCCCAGGAGAGGGCCCGTCCTTGCTGTCCCCCCCGGAGAGGGCCCGTCCCCGCTGTCCCCCCCCGGAGAGGGCCCGTCCCCACTGTCTCCCCCCCCCCAGGAGAGAGCCCGTCCTCTCTTCTCCCCCCCAGGAGCGGGGCCCACCCTCACTGTTCTGTCCCACCCCACCAGAGAGGGGCCCATCCTCACTTTGCCCCCAGGCTCCATCCTCACTGCCACCCCCCCCCACCCAGCACCAGGCCTCAGTCTTAGGGGACGCTGGGTCCTTTCTGTGGATCTAGACATTTCCATGTTTTCGTTTATTCTTTTTAATATGAGAAGATGCACATGTACGTTGCCGTCCCTCCTTCCTCATCCACTCTTCTCCCCCTTGCCTTTTCTCGCGTAGCCTCCATCCTGGAGATGGCTGGGTAGGAAGGAGTATGTGGCGATCGGCCTCGCTGCTTTTGCAGCTGCTGGTGCCCCGCTGTGTGCGTGGCGAATCGCTTAATCCAGCTGTTGCGGGGCTCGGGGATGGTTGGCAGCGTCCGTCTTCCGTGCGCGGTCCTGCAGCAGAGAGCCTGCTGCGTGCATCTTCCGGGGCGAGTGCACTGGACCTGCGCTTGCAATCTCAGGGCCTTCGTAAGTAACAGATGGAGAAATCCCAGTTTTGTTCTGGGATGAGGACTGCACAAAAGTGAGTTATCCTGGCGGAAATGTTCAATGTTGGGCAGGGGCTGGGGGTGTCTCCAGTTCTGTTAAAATTTGACATAGAACACATTTGAGAGCGGGTTGCGTGTGAAGAGATGCTAGTGAGATGCTGGGGTGGCCCCAAATGCAGTTATGGGGAGCCTCAAAGGAAACCCAGGGCAACACACCTGGCCCTGTAACCACTTGTCATCTCTGGTCGTATTACCCTCAAATCCAGGCAGGACTCACGTCCCCCCCAGGAGGCTCATCCCCTCAGGACTCAGCAGAGCTCTGTTGTGCAGAGACTGCCGATGTCATTAAGGTCGCAGACCCTGAACTAGGAGAGTATCCTGGACCATCCAGCTGGGCCCAGACCAGTGACTAGAGCCCGTAAATGCGGAGATTTCTCTGACTAGAGGCAGAGGCAGAGACCGAAGCATGAGACAGACTCAACCCATTGTCCCTGGAGGGAACCGTGAGGCAGAGAATGCAGGTGGCATCTAGAATCTGAAGGACAGCCGGCAAGGAAACAGGCAATTGTCCCTAAGCGCATAGACCTGAACTCTACCAACACCCTGAATGAGCCTGAAAACGACTGTTCCCCAGAGTCCCCATAAAGCCCACCTGGCTGACCCCCCGATCCCAGCCTTGCCGAGGCCAGCAGGCTTCCTTCCCAACTACAATACCGTGAGGTAATAACATGTTGTAAGCCACTTGGTGGGCGACGGTTGGAGCACCAATGGGAAACCAGTCGCCGTTACCTATGCATCCGGGACCTTTCCAAAGTCCAACACGCTCATAGCCCTGTTTAAGATCCTCGGCGCACCCTAAACACCCGGCCTCAAGCTCCTTTGAGGGTAATAAGACCAGAGATGACAAGTGGATAGAGGGCCAGTTATGTTGGTGAGAAATGGGGAGCAAGAACTGGGGCTGGGGTGGCAGCGGTGATGGTCAGAGTCCTGGGTGCAAGCTACGGGCACTGAATACGGCTGCTGTGATGGGCTGAACCATGTCCCTCTGAAACTCATACATTGAAGTCTTGCCATATGAATTTCCCTCAAAATGGGACTATGTTTGGTGATGAGGCCTTTATAGAGATGATTAAGGTAAAGAGAGGCCCTGATTCAATCTGACTGGGGTCTTTACAAGAAGTTCGGACACAGGGGCACGTGGGTGGCTCAGTGGTTGAGCGTCTGCCTTTGGCTCAGGTCGTGATCCCAGGGGTCCTGGGATCGTGTCCCATGTCGGGCTCCCCCCAGGGAGCCTGCTTATCCCTCTGCCTCTCTCTCTGTGTTGCTCATAAAAAATAAAATCTTAAAAATAAGAATAAATAAATAAATAAATAAATAAATAAATAAAATCTTTTTTAAAATAATAAAAAAAAAGAAGTTGCACATGAGGACGCAGGAGAGGACTGTCTACGACCCCAGAGACAGGCCTCAAGAGGAAGCAGCCCTGCTCCCACCTTGACCTTGGACTTCCAGCCTCTAGCACTAGGTGAGAATAAATGTGTGCTGTTTAAGTCATACTTTCTTGTTGTTTAAAAGGGATTTTCCCCCCTAAAGGTTTTACTTATTTGACAGAGAGAGAGAGAGCACAAGCAAGGGGAGTGGCAGAGGGAGAAGCAGGCTCCCCACTGAGCAGGGAGCCCAATGCAGGGCTCCATCCCAGGACCCCGGGATCACGCCCAGAGCAGAAGGCAGACGCTCAACCACTGAGCCACCCAGGTGACCCTGGGCATGAAACCCTCTTAAAAATAATAAATAAATAAATAAATAAATAAATAAATAAATAAATAGCAAGCAGGCTCTGGGCAGAGGCCCATCCAGGTGGAGTAGCATATTTGGGTTTCATTCGTATGTATGGAATTAATATGTATAAATATGTATGGAACTCTGGACCATATATACAGAATTTCAGTACATGTGTGTGTTCCTGGGGGCAAATAGTCCATGGTT